TGCATTCAGATCAAGGCCGTAACTTTGAATCAGCTGTGTTCCATGAATGCTGCAAGTTGTTTGGCATACGAAAGACCAGAACAACGCCACTTCACCCACAGTCTGATGGCATGGTAGAAAAGTACAACTGGACACTGGGACAGGAATTGGCAAAATTGTGTAATAGCCACCAAGAAGACTGGGATGTCTTACTCCCTCCACTGTTGATGGCCTATAGAACAGCAGAGCATGAAGCCACTGGATACACTCCAGCAAAGTTGATGGTTGGTCGGGAACTTCGGCTGTCAGTGAATCTGTTAACAGGACGCTCACCTTATGAAGAGTTGTCTGAAAATGTGTCAGAATTTGTGAGTGTTATCGGAAAGGATGCATGATATTCACCATCAAGTGCGTTCAAACTTGAAAACGTCTGCTGATTCCATGAAGCTATGTTATGATAAGAGATCTACTGAAGTCAACTTTGTACCAGGAGACAAGATGTGGTTGTATAATCCCAGGAAGACAAAAAAGGGAGGTCTCCTAAGTTGTCTTCTCCATGGGAAGGCCCATATGACATAGTGGATCGTCTCTCAGACGTGACTTTCCGAATAAAATGTGGTCAGCAAGGTAAGCCAAAAGTGTTGCATGCCAACAAGCTTTGGCATTATCACAGTCCAGGACATTTCAGTTGGAACGAAGTGAACAACTGAACAAAAGGCACCGCTGAAGATGTGTCACCTGGAAAAGCCACTGTCGAAGAAGAAACTGTACTCGGTTTTGAGAAGGGAAACAGTGAAGTCCTTGATGAAGTTACTACCACTGATGTAACTATTATCGATAATAGGACATTTCCTGATGGAGCAGATGAATTTTATGTGAAGCAGAAGCCAACGAGACAGAGACCAGTACGGAAGAAGATACGTCCCGTAAATTTAAGAGACCTTGTTGAATTTTAATTTTGTGTTTGTGAATTCTGTACATTTAATTAAGTTATTTTTAATTATCTATTGTTTTAATTTAAGTGTCTATTGTTCGGGATGAACAATACTAAGGAAGGGGCAGTGTTACAACAGCGGAAATCACGTGACTCTGGTAACACATAATGAGTATCTAGAAAGTTCCTGAAGGCTTGAGACGCCCTCTATTTTGTATATATAAGACTGGCAAATAAAATGGGAGAGATAATTGCAGACAGATAGATATAGAGACAGATAATCGAGTCAAGCCATAAGTAAAGTGTGTAAATCGTTTTGAATTATAGTGTGTGTTTAAGTTAAAGTGACTGTGGAAATTAAGTGTATTGCAAAGTTGTATTGAGAAAGAATAAATTAGTTTTATTTAAGAAAGGACTTGTATCGCTGAAGTTCTTCGGAAAGAATTTCTACGAAAAATTAACAAACGAACACAGACGCAACAATACCACGCTGCACAACATCGCCTGGATGTGAAGTATTGAAATGTAAATGGATTATCTCACTAATAGAACAAAGGATGTCGAGATCCTGTATACTGTGCAGTAGCTATAGCCATTATAGTGGGAGTGATGACAAACCATACAAGTGGTGACAATTCTGCTTGTGGATGGCCAACACAAATGACCAATCACCGACTTTGGGAAGAGAACTAAGTAAAGAACCCAGAAATAACTTTGGTACTACTTGTCACACAGTAAAGTGTACATTGTTGTCACAAGCTGTTGAACTTAGTGCTGATGCATACACAATCTGGCATTTATCTAGTCAGTTATGACAGCAGAATGGTGTGTTGTACTATTGTTATGATACATTAAGATGTGGTATTGATCTGCATTACAACTAGTAATTTTCAAAGGTTTAAAAAAAAATATATGCTTTAGACTTTACATAATGAAAAGACTGAAGGAAATCAGGTAACACACCAATGAGAATGAACAGAAGCAAATATTCTGGCTGTATTTGCATATAGATGTTTAATAACTTTATCTACACTATGGAACATACACTACCAGGGGTTGGGGTGGGGGAAAGAGACTACGGTAATGAAAACTCCAGCAGAGAACTAGAGGTTCTCCTATAGATGTAATGAGCCCTTAATTCTAAACAAATATTAATTGTTATGTGCTGGTCATTATCAAATAATTCATCAAGTGGCCAAAGCTTATTCATTGGTTGATACATTAGCATAGTCCATCACTGATATATTGGCTGAACAATGGAAAACATCATTGAAAAGCTGGTGAGAAATACATATATAAATAAGTCAATCTCAAAAGCTAGTTATCTGTTGTGTCACATGTTGGGTGTTAGCTGTGATGAAAAATGTATTTCACCATACCATCCTCAATATGATGGTCTGACTGAATGGACAGTACAAACTGTCAGCTATATGCTTGCTACATTTGTGAACCTACTACAGGTCATGATGGTAATTGAGTAACAATCTGCTGTTTGTTCTCCAAATCTCCTGATGATTAAATCTAATGTAGACCATTTACCTAGTGCAGATGTACTAACCAATTTGTTCACAGAAATTAGGGGTGTTGCTGCATAGTAGCTAGGTTAACTTGCTGTATGTCATGAGATTCCATGACAAAGCAGTAACCAAACAAAAAAGTGGAATCTTGTGGCTAGGTTTAGCTGTGGTAAATGTATGGCTGGACGGTATATACGTCAACAGCTCAACAAGGTAAAGTTTTAGTTACAGCAGTTGCAGGAAGCTCATAGGCACATCAACATGTTGACAAACTTCAACTCTATATCAGTCATGAGCTTCTTAAGAACTGGTTTCCTTGGGAATTAAAGTCAGATGAGCAGGTTGCATTTCATGTTGAGAACCCTGTCAAACTATCTCAACTCAACTGTTGAGAAGGAATATGCTGGAAGTACATATCTGGCATACCATGAAGAGTCAGATAAAAAATGCCATTAAAGTAGTAGTCTGACTGCTCTGATATTCAGCTCAAATGTAGATTAACAATTTTATTAACATTTATGGTGGTCAGTTGGTTAAGAAATGAATGAATGAAGTAGCATCACCCGCTTTCTGAGCTATATATGGACAGAAAAGTTTTTTTTTTAATGAATAGACATCAGAATTATTATGTGCTGAGATGAAGTTGCAAACCAAAGAACTTTCATGGAACATAAAATTGTTGTAAGGTCCAATGTTGCATCAAAATTATTTTATTTACATAACACGTATACAGAATTAACAACATACAGGGTGACTCAGGCAATAAACAAACCAATACACTCCTCATAAACATACATATATTGGTGACAATCATATAACAGGACATACACCTTTCACTTCTAACTACACATTATCAATACTATTATGAGTTTGACTCTTGGCACTAAATTGTACTGTGTTGAGTACTAAGTAAATCTTTTCATAATAGATTTTGTCTATTAGCTATTTTTTCATTCCAATTATTTTAGCACTTGTTATAAAGGTACATATATAATCAAATAATATCGCCACTTCTAAAACTGACTTTGTCAAATAAGTTAATAAACTTCATCAAAAGCTTTTGTAAGGATTTTTGAGATGGAAATAAACTGATATCTATCTCCACCTGAAGTAAATTAACATCAGGTACACTATAGTGTCTGGAGGAAATTTGGTCAATTTTAAGTAGTCTAACACACCTTTGGCTTTTCTGACAATTGGCTGGATTATCAACACTCTATTAACATGTTTCTAAGCAATATCACAACAATATTTAAGAATAATTTAACAAACTGATACACCAATTAAATAAAATCATTGTTAAATCACTGAGCTTTACACTAAATATTTAGATGAATAAATGTATAAGGACATTTTAGGTGGATCTGTACAAGTAAAAGTTTTGATTATAAAACTGAGAGAAATGAAGTTGACCCTATGATTTTGCGAGTTAAATATTTATTATCTATTATGTAGTAAATACCACAACATCCTTACTTGTTTACTGGTTAATGCAACACATGTTGTGCAGCACCAGTTATGTACAAAATATCCTTTGATTATGTAAGAAATATTTTTAATTGTTAAAAGATACCAACTGTGGAAAATGTAACACTGTGACTTACATATCAATGGTCCAAGCTTACTATAAAAAACAAAAACACTGAAATTTGTAATGGGCCAGAACAGTTTTTCCTATAATTATAAATATTACAACATCAAGAACTTTGAGGTAACATCTCTTTACACATTACACCATGGCATAAAAATCTAAATCTGTGATGTTACTTAAACGTCTGATACATAGCATAATATGAAATTTGTTATAATGTATTCCATATAATATACTATGACAATTAAGATATCTAGATAATGTACTAGTCCACACCTATAATGGTACTATTATATATGTCATACAAAGCACTAGACTAGAACTGTTATAGGCATTAAAAGGCTATGCTAGCCACAAAATATCATGCCAAGCATGATATATATAACTGGAAATAGCCTTACACTCATGCATTCTTACTAATTAATATTTTAAACTTAACACCAAGAAGCCTTTATGTTTCAATCCAACCAATAACTTGCCTATTTCACACTATACATTAAATCCTGAATTAGCTGAATATATAATCACAAACATTAAATGTGAGATGTTATGACTAGCAATGAAAACTCTGTGCTCTTCAGTTAACCCTTTATGGCTAGAATAAACCAGAAGGAAAATAGAACTAAACAATAAAACAAAATATACACTGTATAAAATGATAAAACTAAACATTAGATGCCCAGTTACAGATTGAAACAAAAATGTAACTTGCTGGACCACATTGATGAATGTAATAATAATACTGGCTACATAAAACTTGCATGTTGATGTCAGATATATTTGGAATGTTCAAGTAAAAGTTACTATATATATATATTATTAACACCTACTATACAGAACACATTTCATAAACATAAAAAATATTAGGCTGTTCAAGTGAGAACCTGGTAAATACAGCTTTAATATATAGAAATTAAACCTGCTACAAAAAACATACTGTCAGCTCAGATCAATTTGTGAGAATCACATATCAACTAAAATGACAAGAATACATGATCCACAGCATACGCATAATCTGTACTGCAACAGTAAGGATAAATTATTTTAGAATGTTGAATCAGACATAATCTATTGAAGTAGTCTGCTATCTATGCTAAACAAAATACTTTGGTGTAAACCAAAAAAAAGCAAACTGTTTTTTTTCTGAAAAGTACAGCAATGGCAAGTATGCAGGCAGGAGAGCTAAAACTTTTACAGATGAGCAGCATCAATTTTCAAACTTGTTTCACTTTTAACATCTTCTCTAGTGCTTTCAGTTACTTATCATATTTTGGCTATAAAAATTCACATATGCACTACAAGTTAAAATACTTGTCAATAACATGGTTATATGAAAAATACAAGCCTTTATTAAATATTACGTTTGTTGTGGGATTAAATATGCAAGAGAAAAATAATAAACTGCATTGAAAAACATAGTTACTCTGTAGATAACATGTTCAAGCTAAGTGCAGTAGAAGTACATAATTATAGTATCAAATGTGTAGTAGGTACTGTATCTGTTTAATTAGATCTACTTATATAGAGGGATCTCAACAAGTATCACAGCTGGCTAGAAAGGAAGAATAAGATAGTAAGGTTCTAAACAGAGATCTCATAGTTCATTTCATAAAAAGTGTTCCGTTCAGAAGCAGCTGACTGAGGAAATTCTTGATGATTGTTTAAAGGGTGCCGCTGTTCCAAACGTGGAGTGCCTTGTCCTCTTCCTCCTTCCTGTGTTTCAGAAAATTCTAGAGCTTTAATAAAAGACACTGGTCTGTTCAGGTCTACTGAAGGATGCCTGTTTTGGTCGGAGGAGTTAAGACTATTATGATCAACATCTGAACTGTGGCTACTAGTACACTTGGAGTGCGGAAAGTTGCTCTCAAGATGCCCATTTCTTGGGCTGTTGTTTTTCTCAGGATATAAATGTTGTTTTTTTCCCACGTGACTGAAAATGAGTTCTGAATGGTTCTCCTGCCTGGAATGATAATAGATTCTGTGGACATTCTCTGTCAAAAGATTTGTCAGGATTGACTGATTGGTTAAATTGTGGAAACTGCTTTCCCAGTGGTTTCCCAACACTTGTATCAGCTCACTTTCAGATACAAATTTACGTTTAGTTTTGAAGTTTCCTGAGGCAAAAGCTCCACGATAAGAATTAAGACTAGAAGCTTGGTTGAGAATATTTGGATATCCCACTGAAGGACTAGTTTGACTACGAGGAGGAGTCTGCCTGATCTGGGTCCTGCTGGACCTAGGAGATTGAAAATTTCTATCTAGAAACTGGTGACAATTGTTGCTTACAGGTGTCTTTGTCAAACAAGTTGTATCTGAGACCTGTTTAAGTTGAAGAGATGATGATTCGCAACCTTGAAACTGACTTTTGTGGCTCATATTAGATCTTTGAAGGGACAGTGAAGGAGATGTAACATCTTCAGATTGACTTCTTATGTACTTAGTAGTGGAATTTTGATGGGATGGTGGAGAAATACATTCACAATCTCGTGGTTGGTTCCTGAAGTAACTTGCAGTGGATTCCTGACAAGGTAGTGGAGGTGAGGGTTCACAGTCTCGAGACTGACTCTGGGTGGCATCAATTGAAAGGTCTATATCTGGAATTTCAGCAAAACCAGGACAAAGCTGAAAAAAAAATATATACAGCAGTATAATAGAATGCAAATGAACTTTTATATTGAAAACCAGTTGTACTACTGCCAAGTTACTACACTGTTAAGTGCTGGCACAACCACATACTTTTAAGTTGAACCAGAAGAGAGCACAGTCAACTTAGAATAAAGTTATGTATAGAGGAAAAAAAATTCATGATGCCTCCTTTTGAATACAAAAATAGTATTTCATCACATATGAGACCTTTCTAATAAAAATAATCTACAATTGGATATAAATTTCTTAATGTTAAAAAAAAATCCAATTCCAACTTTTGCTTTATTGTGATATCACAGTAAAGCTTGATTTTCTACTTTCAAACATAATTTATTGACATAATATTTTTGTAACTCCTCAAGATTCTTTGTTTACTATTGAGTACAATAATAGTTTCTGTTTGGAAATATACACACAGAGGGTGATTCATAATTTGTACATCACTGTCAGAGTATTGAGGATGACATGCAAAGGAAAAATGTCTATGACAAAGACACTATGACATCTGGTGGTGAGATCTGTGAACACACACAGACTAGTTTGTAGATGCTTATTGCTCTTCTAGTTCAAGTTTCTTTGTTCAGTAAAATGCTCAATATCTCCTATACATATATTTGCAGTTAAATAATACTTTTTTGTAAAGAATTTCTACATTTTGATGCACATGCCAGTTCTTTCTAATATGTCAAGTTAAAGCTTTGTATATATGATGATTTTGGTACAATGTCAAATTATAGTATCTTTTTGTTTTAGAATAAAAATTACACATATACTGTATATTAAAAAATAAAGCATAATAACTTAATATAACTAAATATCCTTAAAATGCTTAAAATCTAACATCAAAGCACGATAATACAACCACAAGATCTATACTTTGTAAGTTACCATATCATACATGCACATAGTGGACTGACCTCATATTAGAGAAGGAATAATGATTCTAATTCCAAATTTATCATGTGTATTTAGATAAGATGTGAGAAGCATTTAGTAACAGGTACAAGTCTATTTCCTACAAAAAAGCAGATGTTTTAAAAAGTATTTGTGCTCAAGATATGTCTGTGAAGTACCAATATCAGCCTGACTCAGACTCTTACAGTTTGCATATTGAACTTGCATAGCCTCTAGGACCTCTAAAATGCATATCTACAATTTTTCACTATACCTTTATAATGCATCAGGTATTTACTCTCCTCTACCAACAAACTGTCACTAAATTAGCAATGTAGGGCAAAATGAATAGTTGATAACTCTGACATGAAATATGTAATACCATGTTGAATGGCACTCTGTGAAAGGACGTCATGTGCACTTTGACCCCCAACCGTGCACATAGGGTTAACAAAGTGGCCTAGTTTACTTACAACTAACAGAACTATACTTACCTGTGATCACTGACAAGTTGTACAATGGAAATACAGATATTTCACCACCTCTTTACTAAAACTAGATACTTAATTTTGGTTATATTCGCTGAAATATTATTCTTACATTCACACCAATGATAGTCTTTCTGAGCTTTTCATTAAAATATATCCCTCCACACAAGAAAAAGATTCTTTTTTTTTACTGGAAAGACTGAACTATATATATTCAGTAATTACAACTTGGTTTGTGATATATATTCTGTCAGTGTTCAGTATTTGGCTGATTCGGTCATTTTGCCAGATATCAGCTTCTACTCATAACAAATAGTTTAAATTTTAATTTCCACCAATAGCATAATTTAAAACCTGCAAAATGTACTAGGATGTAGGAAGTTATAAAGAACAAACTGAAATGCAGAAGGTCAATCAATGTAGAAGATAGAATTTTTAGTAAACATTACAAACATTATTAACCAAACTCAGTTATCAGTAAAGTATAGTTTATGTCTGTGTGCATAAATCCATGTAATTCTGATACTTTCCAAAGCATATAATCTTATTTTTTTATGTCATGGAAGGAAATTTTACTGAAACAAAATAGTTTTAATATGATAAAAGAATATTATAGTTTTCTAAGCAATCATCTTATTATTCACCAGACTAAGTTAATTTCAATCACTATTTTACTAAATAACTGATCTTCAACAATCTGTCTTTTTTAAAGAAACTTAATATTAATTTTTTTCTAATTAATACACATTTATCAATCATTAGTAACCAGTTTCTCTTTACCTCATAAATGTACACTATGCTAGCCAAGACTCATAGCAGTATTAGTGCTAACTGAGACAGTATTGGAAATGTCTTTGTTTAGTTTCCACCACAAAATATTTGATTAGATTTTGCAAAACAAAAAATTTATTCCAGATAAATTGGAAATTAAATTTGTTCAACATTTGCATTTAGGGCTTCTTCAAGTTTCGCACAGAACAGCATTGTGTGAACCATGAAGAAGCCATATAGGCAGAATAGTATACATAATAAAATCTGATTTAATTGGAGTAAATGATAGTTTTCATTTGCTTTGCAAATTGCATATATTCTCAATTTAACACTTAGATCTATAAACTCAGAAGGTGGATTACATTGATGCTGATAAGAATTTGTAAACAGTATTTTAATTGAATTAGAACTAGAAATGTCTGTTTCCATCAAAATAATTGGTTAGTTTGTCATTTTAAAAGTGCTAGAGATAAAGAGAAATTACTTTCACTGGTGAAAACTCCTTTGTGATCACCTGTTTAACTAATATCATTAATACCATAGGTCCCTGCACATACTTCTATGCAGCAGTTCCTGAATGAATAATGGGTTTCCTGTTGTAAAGTTTTAACAGGTGTTTGTAATAATGGTGAGGATTCATCAATGTCACTTTTACTACCCCTGTCTTCATCCATGTTTGATTCTGAAATTTACAGTGTCAGTGCTTTCTTCAAACTTCCTTGACTGCTTAGTTCTGTTCCTCTTAAGAAAAATGCTACTTTGAAAAAAAAGAGCCAATAAAATACCTATGACAAAATTTGGTTTGTGTTATATTCCAAGGTTCCAGGTCCAAAATGGCTTATGTTATCCTCTAACAAGTAACAATAAAGAGTAGCCACAGTTGGAATAACTTTCAAAATTATTGAGTGAAACTATGCTTTTTGTCATTTCTTCGGTTATAGCAGTTTTAAACATACCTCCAATATGGAGGTATCCTATTATTGTTGAGATTGATAATGTTGTCAGTGGCACATTGTTTTTTAGGTATATTTAAATAATTTTGTATCATCATATCTTTTGAATGTTAGAATCTTTTATAATATTTGCCCCATTATCTCTTATTATGTAAATATATTTTGATTTCTCACATACTTATTAGCTCTTTCAACACTCTCTCTATTACATCAATACTATAACTTAAATGAAAATGTTTTAACATGAAAATCAGATATTGTAAATCCCCATGTTCTTTGATCCAGTACCCAGTGAAACTGTTGTTTGTTGTTAAGCATGACCAGAAAATTGTACTCTTGCACTTTTCATATAATTGGATCTTTTTTTAAAGAAAAGTATGTTTTTCTTGGTAAATTTTATTGTTGTTGAATTTTCTTCATCTAGAAAACAAAAATAAGTAACAACTAAATAGGGTTTAATTATCCATTGTAGTCATTTCACCTGTTGCATAGCACAGCTTTGTAGAACAATGATCATTAATGCTCCACAGTTTCCTTTTTCAATAATGCTCCTCAATGTTTTATTACTTGGTAAATACCCTTGAACTTGAAGACACACTATCACCTTCAATTAGAAGAAGATGGTTTCTATTTGCCACCACATGAAATTAATATGCTACACAATTTGCACTTCATATAAAAATCACCAATTACTTGTGTGTAATATCACACGATTAACTATAATATGAGTACACACCTGGAATTATTACATGATATTTTGAAAAGTACTGTTATAGCATTCTACTCAGTATGAAGCTTGTTTACCTTTCCCCAAAACTTAATATATACTTGTCTCTCTATTGCTTACCACGTCTCCTAAAGCTGATGAAACTGCTTTAATAAATATATCAACTATTCAGCTGTGGATTACTTGGTTATTCGGCTGATGCATTATCTTTTCAATCTTTAATTATAAAATATTAAAAATTATAATATTATCAGCTTGAAGGATGCAAGACTTTATTAAAATGAAATATTATTAAATTCTTTACTACTTACCTGAACTCACACTTTGCCCAAGTAAGGGTATATCTAGAAAGTAGTACTAATTTGGTTTTATTCAACCGTAAGGTATACCACTCATATTTTTATAATTCTATACTTTTATTTCACTATTCCCAACATATTTCAACATACATTCTTGAAATGATACTATAGTACTAGCTCACTATTCCTTAATTCTTGTAATGTCTGTACAGTACTGTTTCATTATTCAATACATTTCCGACACATATTTTTGATAAAACTGATTATTATTATTTCACTATCCTATACCTATTCCAAATTGTATTCTTATCATGATTAACAGGCTGCAAAATTTCAGCAAGTATGTGTTTTTGAGGCTAGAAATGCAGAGGTCAAGCTCATTATATTAGTGAGAAAGCAGAGCTGCAACTTTGAAGAAATCTTATATATGTGCATGTTTTATTTCCTTGACAAATTTTGAAAATTGCAATAAAACTTTTTAACACTACAAACCATTATCCAAGTATAAACTTCCATTTCTTAATACAGTGAAAGACCAAATTTCAGGTATTTAGTGCAAATCCCATATTGTAACAACTTTCATTTACACTATTCAAGAAATTAACTAGAAAATTTTATAAAAAGTTAAAAAATTTTCAAGTTCTAAATATTTCTAATGCTTATTCAGTTGAGCACCATTTCCATTTTCTTAAATATATTGCCCATGGCCAAAGATCATCTTAAGTAATACAGTTAATACTATAGTAAAAGTATAAATTTAAAAACACCAAACTAACTTTCTTTAATTGTGTATAATACATGAAATAAAAGTGTACATGGTTGGTAGAAGTATTCAAAAACTAAA